TTGTTAGCGATTGGTCTTGGGGTTCGAAGGATAGGTTGGAGTCCAGAATGACACCAAGTACTCTGGCTTGCGGGGTGGGCCTGATGGTGGCATTGTTGGACGTGATGGAGAAGTCAGTGGGTGGAGGTGCGCGGGCTGGGGGGAAAACTAGGAGCTCGGTTTTGGAGAGGTTCAGTTTAAGGAAGTGGAGCGACATCCAATCTGATATGTCGTTCAGTAGGTGTGTGATTCGGGCGGAGACTGAGGGGGTGAGGTGGGGGGGTTGAGAGATAGATTTGTGTGTCGTCGGCATAGAGGTGGTAGTTGAAGCCGTGAGAGTGTATCAGTTGGCCAAGGGAGGAGGTGTAGATGGAGAAGAGAAGGGGCCCGAGGACAGAGCCTTGAGGGACCCCGACAGAGAGGGGGAGTGAGGGGGACGTGGTAGCATTATAGGTAACGCTGAAGGAGCCTTGTGATAGGTAGGATGAGAGCCAGGAGAGAGCGGAATCTCTGAGGCCGAGGGAGTGTAGTTTTTTGAGGAGGAGGGGGTGGTCGACTGTGTCAAAAGCCCCGGAGAGGTCGAGAAGTAGGAGCACTGAATAGTGGCCATTAGCTTTGGCGGTTAGCAGGTGGGATGGAGGAAGATCTGAAGGGCAGTAGGGGGGAGGGTTAATTTGGGCTTTCGGGGGAGGGTTAATTTGGGCTTTAACGATTCATTATTAAATACAAAGCTGCATTCATCTGTCTTTTATATGAAATAGCTTTAAAAAATTAACATCTCAAAAAGATTCGCTATAGAATCTTTTTACATGGTAATTATTATATTTTTACAAATATTAGCCTTTTCCACAGGTGTAGCCAGGGTGGATTTGATTTAAATCACTAGTCAGTAAGGCTTGATGTAAATCCTAGTTTTCTACATAAAGACTAATTCTTGCTGGTGTAACTTTAATATACAAGTAGATGAAGATTTTTAGAATAACAACTTTTCATTTTAGTTTTTTTATCCCCAGTTTAATAGGTTAATCATTCATATTTGGACAACTTTTCTGTGTACTTAGGAAGGAGAAAAATAATCATTACCTTAATAATAACAATAAATAATAATTTAAATAGATTTATTCAACTGAAACAATAACATTCCAGCATATGTGATTTGCTTAAACATCCATGTTTGGTAACTAATTTGGCTAAACAAAATATATATATTTGAAGAAACTTAGGGCTCGTTCACACTAGGCTGTTTTGCCAACGCTTGCCAAACGCCCCTATAGCGTTTGGCAAGCGTTGGTCCGGCGTTTGCGGAGCGTTTTTAACGCTCGGCAAACGCTCCGCAAACGCCGCATGCGCGGTTTAGCGGCGGTTGCTAGGCGTTTGCCGAGCGTTAATAACGCCCCACAAACGCCTATAATGCAGTTTGAGTGGTGTTACCGCTCCGCAAACGCCCCGCAAACGCGTCGCAACCGCACCGCAAACGCCGGCCGGGCGTTTGCGGAGCGGCACCATAGACGAGAATAGGAGGCTTCAAAGCCTCCTGACTCGTCCAGAGGCGTCTGTTTTGCCGCGATGCGACGCAAACGCTCCCGTTAGAACAGCACCATGTGCTGTAATGTGTAGAACTGGCAGAGGCGTTTGGGAAGCGGTAAAAACGCTTCCCAAACGCCTCTCTGCCGCCTGCACACAAGGCTAGTGTGAACGTAGCCTTAGACTGTCGGCCCCTTCCTCCTCACACTGTCGGCCCCTTCCTCCTCACACTGTCAGCCCCTCCCTCCTCACACTGTCGGCCCCTCCCTCCTCACACTGTCGGCCCCTCCCTCCTCACACTGTCGGCCCCTCCCTCCTCACACTGTCGGCCCCTCCCTCCTCACACTGTCGGCCCCTCCCTCCTCACACTGTCGGCCCCTCCCTCCTCACACTGTCGGCCCCTCCCTCCTCACACTGTCGGCCCCTCCCTCCTCACACTGTCGGCCCCTTCCTCCTCACACTGTCGGCCCCTCCCTCCTCACACTGTCGGCCCCTCCCTCCTCACACTGTCGGCCCCTTCCTCCTCACACTGTCCCCCCTCCCTCCTCACACTGTCGGCCCCTTCCTCCTCACACTGTCGGCCCCTTCCTCCTCACACTGTCAGCCCCTCCCTCCTCACACTGTCAGCCCCTCCCTCCTCACACTGTCGGCCCCTCCTCCTCACACTGGCAGCCCCTCCCTCCTCACACTGTCGGCCCCTCCCTCCTCACACTGTCAGCCCCTTCCTCCTCACACTGTCAGCCCCTTCCTCCTCACACTTAGTTTCACTTTCTTCTTGTGCAGATCTATTCCACTCCAAACAATCAGAAAAATATTTTTTCTATTCTATTCACTGAACTTCTTGAAACTTAGCACTGAAGGGGTTGATTCTGTATTCATAGGTTTGTAGAAGTTAGGATGAAGGTCTTTTTCTTAACTCTGTTCATGTTATAACATTTTTGCTGTGAAGAAGAGGCATGTGATCTCCGCTGAGTCAAATTCAGTTTTGAGAACTGCAAAAGTAAACCAATCATCTGTGATAATATCTTGTAGGCAGAGAAACTGCCCAATAATCTTACAGAACCTCTGGGAAGAGCGTGACATTGTGAATGGATTCATGGAATTTATTTACCAAAAAAATTAAACATATACAGCCTTATTCTACATAATTAAAAAACTAATCTTTATTTCATGATGGAATAACCTTTGGATGGTAATATATTTTCCTCAAAAAGCATTATATTTAAAAAAAATCCGATTTAAATTAAAAAAAATCTGATTTAAATTAAAAAAAAAAAATCCGATTTTAAAAAAAAAATCTGATTTAAATTTAAAAAAATCCGATTTAAATTAAAAAAAATCCGATTTAAATAAAAAAATCTGATTTAAATTTAAAAAAATCCGATTTAAATAAAAAAATCCGATTTTAAATAAAAAAAATCCGATTTAAATTAATAAAAAATCCGATTTAAATAAAAAAAAATCTGATTTAAAATAAAAAAAAATCCGATTTAAATAAAAAAATACAATTTAAATCAAAAAAAATCTGATTTAAAAAAAAAAATCCGATTTAAATAAAAAAAAAATCAGATTTAAATAAAAAAAAATCTGATTTAAATTTTAAAAAAAATCCGATTTAAATTAAAAAAAAATCCAATTTAAATTAAAAAAATCTGATTTAAATTAAAAAAAAAAAAATCCAATCTAAATAAAAAAAAATGATTTAAATTTAAAAAAATCCAATTTAAATAAAAAAAAAATCCGATTTAAATAAAAAAAAAATCCGATTTAAATTAAAAAAATCTGATTTAAATAAAAAAAAAAATCCGATTTAAATAAAAAAATCTGATTTAAATTTAAAAAAATCCGATTTAAATAAAAAAAAATCCGATTTAAATAAAAAAATCTGATTTACATTTAAAAAAATCCGATTTAAAAAAAAAAATCCGATTTAAATTAAAAAAAAATCCGATTTAAAATAAAAAAAATCCGATTTAAATAAAAAAAATCTGATTTAAAAAAAAAAAATCAGATTTAAATCAAAAAATCCGATTTAAATAAAAAAAATACAATTTAAATCAAAAAAAAAATCTGATTTAAATAAAAAAAATCCGATTTAAAAAAAAAAAATCCGATTTAAATAAAAAAAATCAGATTTAAATTAAAAAAAAATCCAATTTAAATAAAAAAAAATCCGATTTAAATAAAAAAAAATCCAATTTAAATTTAAAAAAATCAGATTTAAATAAAAAAAAATCCAATTTAAATAAAAAAAATCCAATTTAAATTTAAAAAAATCTGATTTAAATAAAAAAAAATCCAATTTAAATAAAAAAATCCGATTTAAATTAAAAAAAAATCCGATTTAAATTAAAAAAAATCCGATTTAAATCAAAAAAATTTTTTTGATTTTTTTTAAAAAAAATCATTGATTTTTATCCACCCTGGTGTAGGTGACCAGTCTACTGGTAAACATAAAAAGGTTAAAAAAAAAATTCAAACTTTGTTCCTATTACACAAATTCCCTCTCTAAAAATTCACAAAACCTTTTTTAATGCGAATTGCCAATCACTTTTTTGTACCATTAACCCATAACTAAGGACCCACGGCCGCTTTCCCTGGAGAGAGTGATGCTGTTTATCTAACCTTCTGTAATTGTGACATTTTAACGCCTATTCATGTATTTTCTTCAGTTTTCCAAAGAGCTATAAAGTTTTTGGCAACCTATTCTCATCTGCAGAAAAAAAAAAAGAAAATTCACAATAGCCCTGGGAAATCAACACCCGTTCCAGCAAACTCATCACTGCTATAACATAGAATAGAAGGCTAAACTTTGATGTGAGAGGATATCCCCTGCTTGTTTACACTGGAGACAGTACAGTGATTCAACAACCCCCCTTATTTAGGTTGGGAATATTCCAAATTAATCTCGCTGTGAGGAATGTGTCCTTAGATATTCTGCACAAGGCATTCCTTGGGAGAACCGAAAATACCTTCAACTTTTTTTTTTCGTCTGCGCTTATAATAGTGAATATCCCCCTGAAGTAGCAATATTTGAGGCTTCGTTCCGACATGCCCAGGTAATCTCAGAGCAGAACCAATATGTATTCAAACTGAAGAGGAGACATTGGAGTTTATGGGCGCATCTGGTGTAGAAAGTGAAAACCTAAACTTGATGATCTTTATGTTTCACACAAAGTATATATATATGTTTTAGGACAGGGACGGACTGACAACTCAATAGTAGATCATGGGGCCCCCGTGTCCTTGCCCAAACTCAAAAAAGCCTATGAAAAAGGTACCAGGGGCATCTCATGGGGCCCCCTACTGACCCCTGGCCCTCGGGCAGTGCCCGAGTTTCCAAATGGTCAGTCCGCCCCTGTTTTAGGACTATCCTGGCATCCAATGGAGGTCTACACCAGTGGTGGTCATTGTTCTTGATATGGGATGCCCTCAATATCACCAAGGGTCTGCACTTAAAATTAATTGAATATTCAGTGTCAGAGGCAGCAGACACACAACAGGATATAGTCAAAGACTATGGGCATGATACAAGAGATAGTCAGAGACTGTGGATATAATCCAGGAGATGGGCAGATATTATGGGCATAATACCAGGGATGGTCAGAGACTGCGCAGATGATACTCTTGTAGAACCTTGGGAAGTTGGGCCATTACTCTCACACACAAGCTCTGCCCTGGTCTCCAACAATTTGAAACACCCCCTCAATACTGCTGCAATAAACAGTTTCACCCCCCCCCCCCCCCCCCCCCAAGCAGCTAAAGCCCAGGAGCCTAACTTGCAGCCCTTTGGCTCTTTGTGTGCAGCCCTTGGGTTCCCTGGAGACACTAATCAGAGATTCCCTATTGCTTTGTTATAGTAGTGATGTCTAGCAGTCTCATATAATATGTCTCCGGTCTATTACTGTCTCCTTAAGCATGTCCCCAATCTGAAACAACTCCTAGAGCATGCTCACAGTCTCCTGCAGCATGTTCACAGCCTCTAACCATCTCCTGTACCATATTTGCAGTCTCTGACCATCTCCTGTATCATGTCTGCAGTCTGTGGCCTTCTCCTGTATCATGTCTGCAGTCTCTGACCATGTCCTGTACCATATTTGCAGTCTCTGACCATCTCCTGTATCATATCTGCAGTCTCTGACCATCTCCTGTATCATGTCTGCAGTCTGTGGCCTTCTCCTGTATCATGTCTGCAGTCCCTGACCATCTACTGTGCTACGTTTGCAGCCTCTAACCGGCTGCTGTACTATGTCAGCAGTTTCTGACTATCTCTTGCATCATGTCTGCAGTCTCTGATCATCTCCTGAATCATGTCTGTAGTCTCTGACCATCTACTGTAGTACGTCTGCAGTCACTGACCATCTGCTGTTCCATTACTGCAGTCTCTGACTATCTCTTGCATCATGTCTGCAGTCTCTGACTATCTCTTGCATCATGTCTGCAGTCTCTGACTATCTTCTGTACCATGTCTGCAGTTTCTGTCCATCTCCTGTAGTATGTCTGCAATCTCTGGCCATCTCTTGTACGATTTCTGCAGTCTCTGACCATCTTTTATATCATGCTTGCAGTCTCTGATTATCTCCTGTATCGTGTCTGCAGTCTCTGATCATCTCTTGTACCATGCCTGTAGTCTCTGACCATCTTTTGTATCATATCTGGAGTCTCTGACCATCTCCTGTAGTATGTCCACAGTCTCTGACCATCTCCTGTAGTATGTCCGCAGTCTCTGACCATCTCCTGTAGTATGTCCGCAGTCTCTGACCATCTCCTGTAGTATGTCCGCAGTCTCTGACCATCTCCTGTAGTATGTCCGCAGTCTCTGACCATCTCCTGTATCATGCCTGCAGTCTCTGACCATCTTTGTTACTATGTCTGCAGTCTCTAACTATCTTCCATACAATGTCTGCATGTCTTTGACTATTTCCTGTTATATGTCTGCTGTCTCTGACACTGAATATTCACTGAATTTTATGTGTGGCCCTTTAGTGATGTCACATGCCACACTTGAGGCCCCCTATATGAAGAAAGTTGACCACCACTGAGCTAGAGCATGGCCCTTTTTCGTCATCCACCCTGAAAAATGTCACACAGCCATCCCAGGAGAGCATGTGGCCAGGAAACCTTGAGTCACTAAATATAGGGTATGCTTTCCCTTTAAGCGTGTTCCTCATGCCTAAATGTTAGTCTTGCTCATGGCTCTGCCTGGAAAAGTCACTTCTTGCACACACCCCGCCACATTATTAGATGTCACTTTTTGACCTGCAGTTCCTTCTTACACGAAAATGTTTCCTACTCTTTCAATAATGAGGCCGGTCTGGGAGGATATAGTGTGTGATGGATAGCTGCTTTAATGATGATGGATCTTACAGGGGTCTGAAGGCCGTTAACCAGATGTAGATAACGAAACTCTGGAACAAGTACATAGAAATGCCATGAAATCCCAACTGAGAGGAACATGGGGCATGATAAAAAATTACTTTGAGCCAAGTTCCCCACCTTTAAGATTGAGGTACTTCTTCAGGCACCCAGGCCACCTAGCTGTGTGATGAGTAACTCAAAGGCCTCCCAAGTTCTTTGGAACATGCCTAAGCCATATATGGTGCCCCATGACCTACCCTCCTGTCCTCACCAGGTGGAATATTGGAGGGGAAGCTCTGTAGGGCATGTCTAAACAATATATTTGGTGCTCCATGACCTCCCCTCCTGTCCTCACCATGTTTAATATTGGAGGGGAAGCTCTTTAGAGAATGTCTAAGCCTACATGGTACCCCATGACCTCCCCTCCTGTCCTCACCAGATGTAATATTGGACGGAAGCTCATAGGGCATGTCTAAGCCATACATGGTGCCCCATGACCTCCCCTCCTGTCCTCACCAGATGTAATATTGGAGGGGAAGCTCTGTAGGGCATGACTAAGCCATATATGGTGCTCCATGACCTCCCCTCCTGTCCTCACAAGGCGTAATATGGAGGGGAATTTCTGTAGGGCATGTCTAAGTCATATAGGGTGCCCCATGACCTCCTCTCCTGTCCTCACCAGGTGTAATATTGGAGGGGAAGCTCTGTAGGGCATGTCTAGGCCATATATGGTGCCCCATGACCTCCCCGCCTGTCCTCACCAGGTGTAATATTGGAGGGGAAGCTCTGTAGGGCATGTCTAAGTCATATAGGGTGCCCCATGACCTCCCCTCCTGTCCTCACCAGGTGTAATATTGGAGGGGAAGCTCTGTAGGGCATGTTTAGGCCATATATGGTGCCCCATGACCTCCTCTCCTGTCCTCACCAGGTGTAATATTGGAGGGGAAGCTCTGCAGGGCATGTATAAGTCATGTACGGTGCCCCATGACCTCCCCTCCTGTCCTCACCAGGTGTAATATTGGAGGGGAAGCTCTGTAGGGCATGTCTAAGTCATATACGGTGCCCCATGACCTCTCCTCCTGTCCTCACCAGGTGTAATATGGAGGGACAGCTCTGTGGGGCATGTCTAAGCCATACATGGTGCCCCATGACCTCCCCTCCTGTCCTCACCAGGTGTAATATTGGATGGGAAGCTCTGTAGGGCATGTCTAAGTCATATAGGGTGCTCCATGACCTCCCCTCCTGTCCTCACCAGGTGTAATATTGGAGGGGAAGCTCTGTAGGGCATGTCTAAGTCATGTAGGGCGCCCCATGACTTCTTCCTCCTCCCGGCGTCAGTATGTGTAACAGTGGAGATCTGCAGAGGGGTAGAGGGACTGTTGCAGAAAAGAATTAAGCCCTTTTTACACGGATGTTCCGATTGGGTTTGCCTGCCCGTTTTTCAGGTGGACCAGGTCGGAGCCTCTATTCTACTCTATGGAGCGGCGGGTGTAAACAGACATTTACATCTGCCGATATCCAATCTGATCCACCAAAAAGAGACAGGTGGGGATCCATTCCTCTTCTGGATGGGATGGCAGTCGGACGTAAACGGACAGGCGGTCCATTTGCATCCGACTGCCCATAGAGGACAGCGGGCTGTGTCTGTGTCTGCTCTGCAGCAGCGAAGCGGACGCGGACCTGTCATCCGGTTGCTCAGCAGGAATCAGCAGGGAGATCTCCCGCTGAGCAATGCGAATCCACTGACAGGTCCATGTGAAAGGGGCCTTAGACTTGACCAGGGATGGTCTTTAAATGGACAAGGTACCGAATCAAGTCATGGCAATGACAGCCAACCTGTGCATGCCAAGCTGCTGGGTAGTAGAGCCACAGCCAGGACAGAGGACCTCTGCATACAGCTGGGAGTCCTCGTTAGTGCAAGATATGGACACCATGGGGTTGATTTATTAAAACTGGGGAGTGCAAAATCTGGTGCAGCTGTGCATGGCAGCCAATCATCTTCCAACTTCAGCTTGTTCAATTAAGCTTTGGCAATAAAACCTGGAAGCTGATTGGTTTCTATGCAGAGCTGCACCAGATTTTTCACTCCCCACTTTTAGTAAATCATCTCCCATGGTTTCTATAGGTTAAGGCTGGAGGAGCTGAGAGACGAGAAAACTGATAACGTTACAACATTTTGGGCTACGCTTTTAGCATGTCTTTAAAGTGGAGCTCCGCCCAAAAGGGGAAGTTCTGCTTTAAGTCTTTGTCCCCCACTCTCCATTAAGGATTGGCACCTTTTCGGGAGCGGGAGGGAGTACCAGAATTTGATAGGTACTTGCTTGCACCTCCACTGTGATCGCCTACGGCGATTGGAAGCGGAAGTTGTCCTCCCCCCTCCCTCTCCGTAGTCTTCTGGGACATGTGACAGGTCCCAGAAGACTACGGGGCCATTCACAAAGCGCAGCGCTTCTCGTTCATGCGCAGTGGGCACCCGGCTGTGAAGCCGCGAGCTGTCACAGCTGGGTGCCCACACTGAAGACTGTAGTAAAGAACAAAAAAAAAAAGGAGAAGAGCGGACAAACCTTGCGCATTACCTCAGTACAAAATTTGTGTATTTATTAATAAGTTATACTCACAAGAGTAGCAGTAAAAAAAGGCAGATAACACTGTTCAACAGGTAAAAAGTTTTGGGCATAAAATTAGCTAATCTTACATAATTTTGGGGTGCTGAAAACGAAAATGACCCTAAAAAATGTTGATTGGCTCTAGTTTCCATGATATATTCACCCATCTAATGACGTAAGCCATTCAAAATTATGATGCAACTTCAGCTGCATATTGTGCAATTGATACGGTGACCAATAGAAAATGTCATGTATACTGAGATGATGCAATATTAGCCTTTAATTGCATCACTTCACTGCATAAAAGCTGCAGTATCTGTAGCTGATTGTAGTTGGACAGCGTCTTTACATTTCGTTTTATGCTTATATAGGCTACTCAGTAATGCCTCGAACTTGTGTGAATAAAGCAGATAATTTCTGCTATATCTGCGGTGAAATAACTTTTATCTCACAAAAAAGGAGGATAACAGGAATGATTAAGAAAGCCTACAACTTGTATTTTGGCTGCAAGATAGGAGACCAGGACAAGAGCTGGGCACCACATATATGCTGCAATTCTTGTGGGACGGCACTGGAGCAATGGTTGAATGGAAAAAAGGCATCTATGCCTTTCGCTGTGCCGATGATTTGGAGAGAGCCAACAGATCATGTTAGTAATTGTTACTTTTGTATGGTGCCTCCAATTGTAAAAGGGCTAAATAAGAAGAAAAAGTTATCTGTGCACTATCCAAATATTCCATCGGCAATACGTCCAGTTCCTCATGGAGAGGGGCTACCAATTCCTAAAGCACCAGAATCCTTCGTGGTTGAGTCAAGTGAGGAAGAACCTGAAGCGTGTAGTCACGTGCAGTTGTAAGAGATAGCCCTTTCCTCGAATACAAGAGAAAAGCCAAGAGAAGCAAAACCGACACAAACTGAAGACAAAACTAGTGAGAATCCTAAGTATTAAAATGATTCAACTTCGCTTATGGCTATAATTTTTCTTGGTAATCCTATGCAATATATTATGCCATTTAGGCTTTGTTATGTAGTCAATATCACTTGCTTTATATTTGTGGAAAGACATCTATCTATATAATTATTGTGCATTATGTAGTCATTACGCCTATAGTAGAAAACTTTCCGTTTACAGAAAAACTAGAGCCAATTGACAAATTTCATTGTTATATTTGAACTCAAATATGAAATTCATTAAGAAATGGATCCTTTTGTTTCCAAAACTGGCAAAAAATAAAAATTTGTTGAACAGTGTAACATCCAAAACCAACAACGGGTTAAACGACATGTGCAAGTTCCATCCAAAAGGGAGATAAACTCTTGATCCATCTGACGCGTTTCAACGTGGGATCCCTTCTTCCTCAGAGCTAGTCACAAAGGGATTAATTCCCCTAAGTATCAAAATTCTTATATAACCGGCACGCCCTCGTGAGTGGGACAGTCATGTAGACGGAGGGGGACCGGGTTATTTTGGGGGTTAAGCGTGTCACATAGATCCATAGAACCATAAAATGTCATAACATACAAAAAGTGCAAAGCCAATCAATAAATATAGACAAATAATAGATGATGAATATACATAAAAATATATAAATAGAAAAATGATGGTATAATATGACCACAAATGGAAAAGGATAAATTGCAATAGTGCAAATAATAGTGATAATACTATAATGGTATATAAAGACATTAGAGATAAAAATGAAGACGAAGACTTAAACTGATTAAACATTAAATTACTAAGTGGGAACACAGAGAGAGAAAAAAGGGGGGGGGGGGGGGTTCTGGCCCACACTAAAGATGCCGGCGCCAGGAAGAGAAGACGGTCGGTGAAACCAGCGGTGGTGAGGACATGGCTGGACCGAGGGACAGGTAACTGACTGTATATTAAAAGTCAGCAGCTACAGTTTTTGTAGCTGCTGACTTTTATTTTTTTTCAGCTAGAGCTCCGCTTTAACCACTTCCGGTCTTGGCCAATTCTGACATTCCTCTTTCACATGTAAACATTTTTTTTCCTAGAAAATTACCCAGAACCCCTAAACATTATATATTTTTATGCAGAGGCCATAGAGAATAAAATGGTGGCTGTTGCATATTTTTAGGTCACACGGTTTTGTGCTGCGGTTTTTAAAACGCAAATTATTTGGGAGAAAATAAACTTTAATGACTAAAGTCCCTTTCTCTGCAGATTAAAGTCTCTCTCTCTCTTTGCTATAAGCAAATTGTGTAAAAAAAAAAAAAAAATACTGATCACTTCCCCAAAGTAGTACAATGTTACTATGGTAACATTATACTACTTTGGTCATAGTGAAATATGAAAAAAAAATCTTAAAAAAAATAAAAAAAATGTAATAAAAAAAAAAAATATATATATATTTTTTTTTTTTTCATACTGTCACCAGTCAGTGTCCCTGTTCACCACGCCCATGCCAGTTATATGATGACGCTGTACTTCACTGGTGACAGTATGTAAAAAAAATAGTGAAATAAATTTTTAAAATTTTTTTTTTCCGAAAAATGACAAAAAAAATACAACTTCAAAAAACGCGCCATTCCTCTTATGAAGTACGTCCGACTGTCTACTCTGCAAAAAGGGGTCATTTGGGGGATATCTGTACTGTTCTGACATTTGGGGGATATCTGTACTGTTCTGACATTTGGGGGATATCTGTACTATTCTGACATTCTTGGACCTCAAGAAATTAGATTGGCTGTCAGTACTTCAGGATTGATCAATATTCAGATCTATACCATAGTTTGTGAACTCTATAACTTTCCTACAAACTAAATAATACATCCTAATTTGGGTTATTTTCACCAAAGACATGTAGCAGAATACATCTCGGCCTAAATTTATGAAGAACAATTATTGATTTACAAACTTTTATAACAGAAACAAAGAAAAACGTGTTTTTTTTTCAAAATTTTTGGTCTTTTTTTGTTAATTTAGCAAAAAAATAAAAACCCCGGCGGTGATTAAATACCACCAAAAGAAAGCTCTAGTTGTGTGAAGAAAATGATAAAATTTTAGTTAGGGTACAATGTTGAATGACCGCGCAATTGTCATTCAAAGTGTGAGAGCGCTGAAACCTGAAAACTGGCCTGGGGGGGAAGGTGTAAAATTGCCGGTATTGAAATGGTTAAGAATAATAATAATAATAAGACACTTATTGGGATTTTTTTTTTAACCAAAAATATGTAGCAGAATACATTTTGGTCTGAATTTATGAAGAGAATTTATTTTTTATTTTATTTTTTTTTAATTTATGTTTTATAGAAGAAATGTTTAAATAACTGTTTTTTAAAAAAAAGTTAGTCTTTTATAGCGCAAAAAATAAAAAACATACAGCTCTACTTGAGGGAAACAAATGACATAAATGTAATTTATGTACAGCGTTGCATGACCGCGCCATTGTCAGTTAAAGTATAGTATAAAGTAAAGTATAAGTCACTGATTGCCGCCATTAATGGTATTAAAAAAAAAAAATTAAAAATGCAGTATATATACCATAGTTTGCTATATAAATCCTGAATAATAATAATAATAACAATAATAATAATAACAATAAACAATAATAATAATAAATATAATAATAATAATAATTTAGTAACAGCTGTGACATGTCTCGGTGGCAAGACACAGAGAAAAATACAATTCAGCACATGCTGAGCACAGCAATTCTCTGCTATGGATGCAATTTGCGCATATTTAAACAATTCTGCGATATGAATTTTACAAAAGCGCGTTACAAAACATCTTTTAGTGATAAAACTAAAATGAACATTCTGTTTATATTTTCTTTTCCAGAACATACTTTTGACCCCGAGGCTGAATTTCGTAAAAACTCTCGTAAGAAACAAAAACCTTCCGCGCTCGACAACAGAAAAACATTCCCCGACAACTTCCCCCCGAGAAGGATTCCTTCTTATAATTTTTACGACGCACAGAAAAAACGTAAACTCACCAATGCGTCTGCAGATTTTCAAATGGTTAAACTGTAAAGTAGTGAAAAAAAAAAAAAATTCTTGGAAGTATTTGTTTCCTAAGTTCCTGGAAAAGTGGAGGTAAAGTCGAAGAATATACTCACTTTACAAGGCACTTTTTTGCAAGATGCGAAATCCCAAGACAGACGCAAGGATCCGATAGCTCGGGGTTTAGAAAAAAAAAAAAAAAAGAAGAAAAAAAATACAAAACTGGAATTTGGAAAAACGCACAAAAGTAACGATGAGGCGAAAACCTTTTATGAGTATTTAAACATCCCGTCAGTGTGATGTATAGGCGTGCTTCGTTCCCTCATATCCTGCTGTTGCAAGTTTACATTCTTCTGTTGCTATAGAAGAAAAAAAACATTCCTTGGGTGCGTGGAGAAAATCCATCCGATTTCTTGTTTCCTGTTGTCTTTGCAGAATCCCTTTATGATCTGGATAACCACTGGGTGGGTTTGGGGAAAACTGTCCACCGTATGCACCACTCTGCTGGCTGGGATTCTCGGAGCAATGTCTGGAATCCTTCTCTCTCTCTTTTTTTTTTTTTTCTTTTTTTCTCTCCCTGGAGAGTAAACAAGTCAGCAGAGATGAGTGAGGGAGAGAAGCTCATAGGACACAAACCAAAAGAAAGGACACGCTACACGTGTCTGTAATGTGTCTGCGAAGATTCTGCGGCCTCAGAACTCCAGAAAGGGGAGCACCAAAAAAAAAATGGAAAGGAGAGTTCCAAAAAGATGGAGTTAAAAAAAATGGAAAGCAGAGCTCCAAAAAATGGAAAGAAGAGATCCCTAAAAGATGGAATGGAGAGCTCCAAAAGATGGAAAGAAGAGATCCCTAAAAGATGGAATGGAGAGCTCCAAAAGATGGAAAGAAGAGATCCCTAAAAGATGGAATGGAGAGCTCCAAAAAATGGAAAGAAGAGATCCCTAAAAAGATGGAATGGAGAGCTCCAAAAGATGGAAAGAAGAGATCCCTAAAAGATGGAATGGAGAGCTCCAAAAGATGGAAAGAAGAGATCCCTAAAAGATGGAATGGAGAGCTGAAAAAAATGGAAAGGAGAGCTCCAAAAAGATGGAAAGAAGAGATCCCTAAAAGATGGAGTGGAGAGCTGAAAAAAATGGAAAGGAGAGCTCCAAAAGATGGAAACAAGAGATCCCTAAAAGATGGAGTGGAGAGCTGAAAAAAATGGAAAGGAGAGCTCCAAAAGATGGAAAGAAGAGATCCCTAAAAGATGAATGGTGAGCTCCAATAATGGAAGGAAGATCCCAAAAAATGGAAAGGAGAACTCCTAAAATAGAAAGGGGAGCTCCAAAAAGATTGAAAGTAAAGCTCCATAAAATGGAAAAGAGAGCTCCAAAAGATGTAGAGTTCCAAAAAAATGGAAAGGAGAGCTCCAAAAGATGTAGAGTTCCAAAAAATGGAAAGGAGAGCTCCAAAAGAGATGTAGAGTTCCAAAAAATGGAATGTAGAGCTCCAAAAGATGGAAAGTAGAGATCCCCAAAAGATGGAATAGAGAGATAAAAAAATGGAAAGGAGAGCTCCAAAAAATTGGAAAAATGAGCTCCAAAAAATGGAAAGGAGAGCACCAAAAAATTGGAAAAATGAGCTCCAAAAAATGGAAAGGAGAGCTCCAAAAGATGGAAAGAAAAGATCCCTAAAGGGTGGTGTGGAGAGCTGAAAAAAAATGAAAGGGAGAGTTCCAAAAAATTGGAAAAAAAGAGCTCCAAAAAAATGGAAAGGACAGCTCCAAAAATGGAAAGAGAGATCTCTAAAAGATGGAACGGAGTCTAAAAAATGAAAAACAGAGCTATAAAAACCAGGAAAAATGAGCTCCAAAAAGATGGAAAGGAGAGCTCCAAAACATAGAAAATACAGCTCAAAACTAATGGAAGGAGAGCACCAAAAAAGATGAATGGTGAGTTCCAATAACAGAAGGAAGATCCCAAAAAGTGGAACTCCAAAAAGATTGAAAGAAAAGTAAGCTCAAAAAAATGGAAAGGAGAGCTCCAAAAGAGATGGAGAGTACCAAAAAATGGAATGCAGAGCTCCAAAAGATGGAAAGGAGAGCTCCAAAAAATTGGAAAAAAGATCTCCAAAAAGACAGGTTCCATGCCCTACCCACTTCCCAGCACCGCCCCTTTTAGTGAATACAGAACCAAGTATACTTTTTTGGTGCTAATTAATTTTTATCCAATTTGTTAATAACAAAAAAAGCAGTAAAATAGATCCCCTGCAGCCAGCAAAAGTAGACCTCCCCCCCAGCAACAATGGATCCTCCAGAAACAATGGACCTGACCGCAACAATAGATTCCCCAAACAACAATAGACCCTGGTCAGCAATAATAGATCTCACAGCAGCCAGCATTAAAAGACCCTCCAGCAGCCAGCTACAATAGAACTCTCCTCAACAGTAGATCCCTTTCAACAACATTTAATTCCGGAGCAGCAACAATAGACCTTCCCACTGTCCCTTGGTTCCATGCCCTACCCACTTCCCAGCACCGCCCCTTTTAGAGAATACAGAACCAAGTATAATTTTTTGGTGCTAATTAATTTGTATCCAGTTTGTTAATGATAACAAGAAAAGCAGTAATATAGATCCTCTGCAGCTAGCAAAAATAGACCCCCCCAGCAACAATGGATTCCTCCAGAAACAATGGACCTGACCGCAACAATAGATTCTTCAAACAATAGATCCCGGTCAGCAACAATAGATCTCACAGCAGCCAGCATTAAAAGACCCTCCAGCAGCCAGCTACAGTAGACCCCTCCCTCAACAGTAGATCCCTTCCAACAACATTTAATTTTCCAGCAGCAACAATAAACCTCCCGAATACCAACCCCCCCCCCCCACGACAATAAATCTCCACCAGCGACAATAGACCCCCGACAGCCAGCATTAATAGATCCTCCTGCACACCCTAGAACTCTTTGCCACTCAGTGCTGGAGGTGCCAGGGCCATGTTATCCCCACCACCAACCACCCATTCCATGCTGAAAAAAATCCCTACCAAATGTTGGTCTTTAGGATAAATGATACAAATATGATGTAAAAAAAAATAAATGTTCCACAATTCAGACCATTTCAACAATGACTAAACTAATGGGACGTGGCCCTGGCTGGCCGAGATTTGACCCAACATTCTGTAAAACGTTGGGTTGGAGGTGCACAAACGGAGTGTGTTCTGCAAACGTCTCGAGCAGTTTGCGCTGACCTCAAATAACCTCCATTCCCTGTGGATTGGGGAAGAGTTTCCACGCCACTAAAATTATTTTTGGATTGAAGAAATAAAAAGTCTAAATCTGCGTACGGGTCGACTTTTACAGAGAGCTCAGCTGGCTGGGAAATGGGGGACAGTTTCCTGAGGCCAATAACTTGGGAAGTGTCAGTCTATCTTTGAGATTAAAGGGTTTTACACAAAGTTTAGGGCAACGTTTCTCCTACGGGGTTCCTCCAGAGGTTCCTACGGCTTCCTTGAACAATGAGCAGGTTCTGCTTCCCAAATATGCAACCACTGACCATCATGATCTCTTGGCCATCTGTAAAGGGAGAATTCTTCTCATGGAGTTCAAATATAAGGGGTGTTCATCTACTGACCACCAATGTAAGGAACATTCTTTCCGTTAACCACCAATGAAGGGGGCATTGTTCTTATTGACCACCAATGTAAGGAGCATTCTTCCCACTGGCCACCAATGTAAGGGACATTCTTCCCACTGGCCACCAATGTAAGGGGCGTTCTTTCCACTAGCCACCAAAGTAAAGAGCATTCTTCCCATTGGCCACCAATACAAGGGACATTTTTCCTAATGAATACCAATGTAAGGAGCGTTGTACCTACTG